TTTACTTGATATAATAAGAGGGTTGTTAATAATCAAATAAATCCCCATTTTACTGGTTTGTTCTGTCCCAATGACTCTGCATTACCTTTGCCAAGTCTATAGCTCTAGCTCAAAACTACCATCTGCAAGTAATCACCAGACCTGAGGCCCTTCCCATATGTGCATAGTTACCAACAGAAATAAATTGTTAAAAAACAAAACAAAACAAAAAACACTGTAAAAGTATAATGAAAACCCAAGTGCAAAGAAGAAATCCAACAATCTTCTTTTAACTTTTATTATCTTTGTTTTGTGTCTTTCTAAGATTTCTCTGAACTCTTCTTCTGCATCATATTTGAACTTTTCTTAAATGTTCTTCCATCTGTACTATTCTGCCTGCTTCATGGATCAGGTATTTCCTGTTGTCCGTGAATATTACAGACAGATTTCTCAATTTGTTTGCTTTGTGCATAATCATTATTTTATCTCAGTTGCTTTTTCCTGTTTGTTTTGGTCTCTGTCTTTCATGCTTGGTGCTTTCCTTGACTAATCTCTAGTTCAAAATGTGCAAAGGCCAAATCCTTGTTTGCTCTCCGGGTGGTTCATTAGTTATGGTTAGTAAAGGTCGTACACCCTGTCGTGGGCACACTCTATCAGAATCCTGTCTTTCTATACAATGTTGTAATTCACTGGATGATTACAGTAATGTTTACAAACTACATAGAGGCTTCTCATGGGCTGTGGTTTACCACAAAGTTCCCGTTCCCCAGCTGGTTAAATAAATTGTTAACAAAGTGGGCTGGAGAGTTGCTGGAAGCATACAGAACTGAGTAGTCATGAGGTCAGGCCAAGCTGCACAAGTACCAGAACCCCCAAGGCAAAGTCCAGAACAAGGTCTGGAGGGATGGGCAGGTGAACACATGGAAGAGTTAGGATGCCTACCCATCCTTTGACACACACATGTCCAGTAGTGATTCAACAAGTCATTGGGTCCCTGAACTTCACAGTGTTGAGTGACCCTTTTAAAATAGGGCTTCAGGTTGATTTAAGTTTAAGGCTGGTTCCTGGCATAGTTTTAAAATTCCAGTGCCCAGATGTTTCCAATCTTCTTTAATAAGTTTACACATACTACTTTTCACCTGGAGGAATAAGATTGGTCTGTCCCTCCTGGGTGGTGCTGGGCCAGTGAGTGGTCTCTTAGTGCACACAGCAGTACAATTGTGCTGCCTCTGCATTTGTGCTCAGAATGGAGCCAAATGCTGCTTTTGGCATGGAGTCACCCAGGGCATCTGAAAGCCACTGTCTCACAGAGCTGAGAACAGCTCAGTCACTGCATAGGACGCAGCCTGGTCTCCTGACAGAGCTTAGAGATTCCACTATGATAAAAGTGCTCATAGTTCTGGGACTGTTCTGTCCCTCTTTTAACATTTGATGAAAAAGAAGCCTTAAGTTTAAGCTGTCTAAACAGTCTTTAAAATATCCATGTAGGGTGTTTGCCAGCTTCCCAGTAAAAATGATGACAAGGAATATCCACACAGAAGAATTGATATCAGGTATGATTCAGATTGTGTTTGTTGAACCCTTTTCACTCCTCTGCTTAAGGTTACATACATATGTAGAGCCGCCTTTTAGTGAGGGATGGTAAATTCCTGTAAAATACAGTGTTGGCTGAACTGTGTACAGAATGGGAATGTCCCCAGGACTTCATTTTCTCCAGATTTACCCCTCAGCAGAGCACTGGCCGTGACTGAAATGGTCTCCCACATTGTAATAAGTAAATGCTACTTTTCATTTATGCACACCTTTCTTACTGGGTGTGTAGCTGGATTTTGGAGGTAAAAGCCCGGGCTCTGGCAGCCTGGACTCACTGCCTGTCATCATTTGTCACTAGGAAGGACAGATAGATGCAAGTTGCTGACATCCCTGGCTCTATTTTGTGGGCCCTGGCTTGAGCTGTAGGTCTAAATGGGGGAGAATTAGAGCAGAGACTAGGGGAGGGGAGGTATGTGCACAGTAAGCAGTTCTGGAAAGGGTGTGGCTCTAGATCCAGCACTGTCCATGTAGTTCTTGAGGGACAGTCATTTCTGCTTTTGAGTACAGCCTCAGCCTCAAGAGTAATTGCACTTGTCAGAAGGATGACATATGCTATTTGAGGTTCCCCCATTCTGGAACCCCGGTGAGTCAGGAGGTTAGAGGAAGGTTAAGAACAATGGTGAGAGCAAAGCAAAAAGCACAAGGAGAAGGAAGGCAGTCCTGCTTTATGAGCAGTCAGTGTTTTAGCAAAAGCACCTAGTAGCAGCATAGTGACCAGTTGCAAGCCTAGGTGATGGTCATTGAACATCAACCTAACAACCTGTTTTTCTTAGGTTGTAAGACCACGAAGACTTACTTTAGGTATTCTGATTTTTACTGATATTACAAAACCTTTTCTAAACTTGAAATATGTGGTTAAAACTTTTTCCCTAAGGTTGATCCCCAAAGATCAGTATTACTGTGGTGTTCTCTACTTCACTGGGAGCGACATCTTTAATAAGAACATGAGAGCTCATGCCCTAGAAAAGGGCTTCACAATCAATGAATATACCATCCGCCCCTTGGGGGTCACTGGTGAGTATCTGTGAAGATCTTAGCAGTCATCTTCTGTCCAGAGAAAGTGCTTTCCACAGGTGTTTCCCTGGTGTTGTGCCTGGAATCCCAGCCTTGGAAGATCTGGAGGTAGAATAAGCCTTGGCTACATGAGCCCCCTCTCAAAAACAAGGTATTTTAAGATAACAAAAAGTTTTCTAAGACTTTGGTGATCCTGCCATTTAATTGTAGCTCTTTTATGTTTTTAATTCTACAGATAATAAAAGATATTTTTAAGGCTTCAGTGGATGGTGAATAAGACCAAAGTGATTTCCATCTCTGTTAGAGTAGACTTGGCTTAGCTGGTACAGTGCTTGCCTTGCATGTAGAAGGCCCTGGCTTTGAGTCCTGGCTAAGCAGGATGAAAAGAATTACATCCTTCCTAGCTACTTATGATGCTTATTAAAAGATCTTAGTGATCTAAAAGGTTTGTTTGGATGGATCTACGACGTGTGAAGAACTTGGGTATCATTTCTTTTCATGTCACTGAAAGCAATGCCTGAGACTGTAGCAGTAATAAAGTATGTTCTTAGCATGTACCAGGTGCCACCCCACCACCTCCACCCTCACAGGGGAGAATCAAACAAAAAATTACTAAATAATTCCTGGTAATTATTTCACCTCATGCCTTAAGACTTAAAGAGTAAGTAAGGTGAGATGGCCAGGAGGTCAGGACTCTTCCTGCAGCTTGGATTTGATTCCTGGGACCCACGTGGCGGAAGAAAAGCTGATTCCTGAAATCCTTCACCTTCCACATGTACGCCTGTGGCATGCACATACCCACATGCATGTACATGCATACTTACTCCACACACACAAAATTAATAAATGAATATAACGGTTTAAAAATCAGGGTTGACTGATCTCTATAACATTTCACAATCTATTGTATGGGTTACTAATAGTGTCATCTGGGAGAATGAAGTTTTACCATTTTGTCTAAATGTTACATGAAGGAGGAATTCTATCTCAGGTAGATAGGAACATTGCTTTTCAAATTTAAACAGGCTGACCTAGTCATGTACCACCACACCTTACTCAGGAGTTCATAATTCTGGTAAACTTCTAAGTGATGCTGTTACTGCTAGCTTAAGAACCACAGTCTGAGTTGCAAAATAAATAAATACATACATACATACATACATACATACATACATACATAAAACCTCAAAGAAAATCATGACATGAGCTAGGGTGGCTTTCCTGGCCACAGTTGAGGTACCTAGGTTCTATAACACTGTTAACATGTGACAAAACACGCATGCAGGCTCGTGTCAGAAAGTGGAGGCAGGCGGGTAGGAACTTCTAAGTGACTCAGTTACTTTCCCCTGTATTGGAAATGGAACCTTGTTTATGCTAAGTCAGCCCTGCACCACTGATAGTCATGCAGGCCTGGTTGGCTCACAGTCTGCAGTAATAACTTCTCAAACTAGTTCTTTTTGTTTGTTTTGTGTTCTCTACTTGCAGGAGTTGCTGGGGAACCCCTTCCAGTGGACAGCGAGCAGGACATTTTTGATTACATCCAGTGGAGCTACCGGGAGCCCAAGGATAGAAGTGAATGATCTCTCTCTCTCACTCTCTTACTTTCTCTCTCTCTCTCTCTCTCTCTCTCTCTCTCTCTCACACACACACACACACACACACATACACACACACATAGACACACCAGCATATCCCACTAGGAGTCCTAATTTATTTCTTAACCTTTGCTATGTAAGGGTTTTGGTGTTTTTAAGTGATTGCTTCTTTTCTGTGCTTATCATGTACTGTAGTCAATAAACCTCTTGAGCTATTATTGAATACTTATTTTCTTAGCAAATGTGCTTAAATTTAATGTGTTTATGAGCACAGTTTTCCATTAGGTTTAGTTGAGCCAGGGTGCTAGAAAATGTTTAATGGGCATTTTTATTTCTGCCTTGCAGTTCTCCTCTACTACCTTCTGTTTGCTCTTTATGTGTAAGTCACTTGGCTGTCCCAGGGGCTGGTTCAGTATTCTCTAGAAACTAGGGGCTGCCAGACATGACAGCACACACCCTTAATCCCAGCGCTGGGGAGACAAAGACAGGCAGATTTCTGAGTTCAAAACCAGCCTGGTCTACAGAGTGAATTCCAGAACACCAGAGCACCAGAGCTACATAGTGAGACCCTGTCTAGAGAGAGACAGAGAGAAAAGAAAAAGAAACTAAGAGACTTCCTCAATGTAACTTTTTTCTTTGACCTGTTTTCTGTTCACAATACATCCTAATAACTAGAAGAATAGGTGTGTGCTTTATCTCAGAAGTAACAGCCCCTCACCTGAAATGACTGGTGATTTCTGGACAGGCACATCCATTAATCTGTCGGGAAGACAGTTCACGGTGTATCAAAAGATCCCGTTTGTACACCCACGTCCAACCTCAGTTTTCAAAAAAGATTTATTTGAGCAGAATGAGTGACTATATCAGAGTTGTTTTATTGTAGAATCTTGTAAATATTCTAGACTGGAGACAAAAAAAAACCAAAAGTAATTCCCAGTGCAGCATCTCATAGTACATAGGTTGCTGTGTATTTCAGTTGCTAGATTTGGCTATTTATATATACTGGGTATAGTGATGCTTGTCTGTAATCCCAAGCCTGGAGTGTAAAAGGATCATAAGTTTTAGGCCAGCCTGGACTCCGACCCTGTCTGAGAAGTCCTCCCTCTACCCCAAAAAGTACTCAAAAGGCAGAGGCAGGCAGATCTCTGAGTTCAAAGCCAGCCAGGTCGTCAGCAAGTTCCAGCCTAGCCAGGGCTACACAGTGAAGCCCTGTCTCAAAAAACAAAATAACAATAATAATAATAAAATTAGTGCCTGGCTGTGTGAACACAATGAGTCCCATATTTACAATTGTGCTTACAACTCATATTCTTTGGCATACTCTTAGCCTTGTCTGTTGGCGGCTACCTGTCATCTGACTTCGACACAACAGTCCAGGACCACAGTCACAGCGCTGGAAGATTTCTGGGGCTTGGGCAGTGTCTTTCTGCCCTCTCCTGGAGCAGACTTGTCCCTCTAGTAGAACTGGCTTGCAAATTTTTGTCCAAAAATGTCGAGCACAGCAAAGTCCAGGGCCGCAGTCAGAAGTTCTCAGACAGCTTTCTCCCTCCTGTCCTGTAACAAGTTAGACACAGGCTTTAGGGGCAGATGGGCAGCACTGCTCATGGCAACAGAAGGTTTAAGGATATATGTTCTAATGGCGTGAGTTTGGGAATCTAGGTATGAAGGCTACAACCTAAAAGTAGCAACAGCTAACAGAACCATTGGGTCTCACATGAGGAGAAATTCTAGCCCTTCCTAATAAGTTTATTGTTTCTTATTAAAGTCAAAACATCTCTGGGCAGAGGTGATGTATATACCTTTAATTGCAGCACTCAGGAGGCAGAGGCGGCAGATCTCTGAGTTGAGACCAGCCTGGTCTATAGAGTAAGTTCCAGGACAGGCCCCAAAGCTACAAAAAAACCCTGCCTCCAAAAAACAAAAAACCCTAGTAACAAGTGATTAGTGATTAGAAAGAAAAACTTGCAGTGTCCAATTACACAATTACACACACACACACACACACACACACACACACACTATGCTGTCGATATAACAAGTGTCATTTTCCCTTCCTATAGCCTTAGCATACACAGCAGATGAAAGTAAACCTTGTACAAAATACAAAATGGATTTTGTTTTGAAACAGGTTCTGTGTAGGGTAACTCTGGCTGGACTGGAATTCACTATGTAGCCTGGAACTCAGAGATCCAACAGTCTCTGCTGGGATTAAAGGAGTTTGCTACCACACTGGTAATTTAAAAAACAAAACAAAAAATTAACAAAATTGGGGTCTCAAATTATAGTCTTTGAGATAACGTACGTGTGTGTGTGTGTGTGTGTGTGTGTGTGTGTGTGTGTGTGTGTGTAAGTAATTGAACACCTGAAGGTTTTCTTCTATGCACTTATTATTAGGGTCTTGCCCTGTCCTGGCCAGCAGGCTCTCTTGAGTTGTTCCAAGATCTCACAGACATGGGGTAGAGAAGAAAGTTAGTTTCAGCCTGTGGAGCTGAGAGGGAGAAAATTGTTTTCAAAATAAAATATGTTCAGAATGGTGTTCTTACCCTTACTGCTTTGTGATTTCTTGACAATGCTGGGCTTCCCCTGAGCTCTGTTTTCCTCCGTGGGCCATTTGGTGGTTCCTTCTGCATAGGGGCCATCTTGGCCATCAGTGTTTCTGTCCATTGCTGGTCTTGTGTCTTCCACGGCAGTGCAAACATCTGAGGGACAACCAGCTTTAGTTAGTTACTAACTGAGGGACAGAAGTGCAGATGTGTGGTTACTGTATTGCTAAATAATTTGGGAGCTCTTCTACCTTCCATTTAATGATATTTTATGGTTCTAACACATACACTGTATGTCTCACACATACACACACACACAGAGCAAATAAATATTTGATTAATAAAATCCAAATGAAAATAGAAAGATTCAAACCAGTCTACCTCGAAATGTCCTTTAAAATCATTTTATCTATGTCAGTTGTAAAAGGTGTCAACAGGTAATAAATTAATTTGTTTCATCAAAAAGGACAGCTGCACAAATTGACTTTATCCAGATCCAAGAACACCCTAGAGCCTGCCTCCCATAGAATGTCCTAGCCTGTGTGACTCCAATGATGCCTTCAGATGCATCACTCACCATTCACACAGACCGTCCCTGGGCAGCACATGGCACTCCTCTGGCACCTCCTTCGAACTCTGCGGCACGTGGCACAATATGACTTGTCATCATGCAGCATGAAGCAGAATTTTCCTACATTACAGTCCTTGTCTGATGCACACTGTGAGCCCTGTGAAGGAAAACTTGTCACAGGCTGGGAAATTCAATGAGCCCAAAGAGACCTTTATCCCACGAATGGGTTGGGGGGTGAAAGAGTTGTGTTGAGCTTTGGGCACCCTCTTCATTTTTTGGTGTAATTGGTACCCCCCCCCCAAAAAAAAGTACATCAAACTACCTGTGAGAAGATCTTGGTTGCTACAGAGCCTGTGTTTGAAAGTTGGTCTTTAATTATGAATTAACCATGCCCCAACTCCTGTTTTACTTCAAAACTTAGAATTTACTACTCTTATGCTCTTTATGAAAAATCAAAGTTTTTCCTGTGTGTCTTACAGATGACACATGTGTCCTATTGTCACTGCACCCACTTCTCCCCAACTGTCCTACATCATGTATGCAGTGTACCTACCACATAGAATATAGTGTAATGTATAGTATACATAAGTGATAATGACCCCTGAGACAACTCTTCAAAGTAGGTTATTACAATAATGTCCTAATGAGTTTAAGTCCCAATTCCTACACACATGCTGTGTAGCCTTGGTCCAAATTCCTGTCTTCTTCATTGGTAGAGAGCTATGCCTATCTCAAGTTGTGAGAAAGACAGTTGATCATAAAGGCCTAGCACATGGTACCACTTTCATTATACACTGATTTGTAGACAAATTCAGAACCCTGGCTGGAAAAATGCTTTATTTCCTTTAGCTTTTCCTGGCTTTTTGTTTCATCTGCAGTACAGGTTGGCCTCTGACTCACTGTCAGCTCCTTATTCTCCTCCTCTACCTCCTGAGTGATGGGATTACAGGTTTGTGCTAATAGAACAATTTATGTGCAACCTCAGCCCTGCATCAGTTCACTTAGAGATGACAGTGGCCTGCCTGACAGCGTTAGTTGCCATTGGTCTAGGTGCTGCCCTGCTCCAGCTATGCTTACCTTCCCAGCACCTTGCACATCCGCAGAGCTCTTGATGTTGTTGAAATCCAGGACCAGAGCTCCCAGGGGTGAACACAACCAGCTGAGTCCAAGCAAGGCCACCAGCACCATCCTTCAGTCACTCGGGTCTCCTGGACTTCCCAGTACCCTTGAGTCTTCTGACACTGCGAATGAAGCTGAGTGGTCTTTGTGCAATTTGCCAGTCCCCCGGAGCGGCCTTTTCTGAAAGAGAAGTGAATCTGCCCAAGGATTGTGCGTTAAAGGAGGCAGGCCAGGTCTGACCAGCATGCTTTTCTGAAGCTATTTATAGCCAGGTGTGGCCCCTCTTCTCCCTTCCAGCCCACTCGTTTCCTTCCTCTTTACCCCACACAGGCTACAACAGATCCCTTCACATCTTTGATCAATAGTTCAAAACAAGGACTCGGTGGAAGGAGACCAGAGGCAGGGCCACAGCGGCTGCTCCTCCAGGCGGGAATCCCTCTTAATTATCGCATATCAAAGTCAGTTCAAAGGGCTCCCAGGAGAGAAGGATGTTGGTATCAAAGGCAGTCCTGATAGTCACCTGCATTTCCGACCCTCAAACCTTTGGGAGGAGGGGCAGACTAAGATGTGTTTTCACAGTTAGTTGTACTCAAAGAGAATGACTCACATCAGCCAATATGCTGTAGATGTTTAAAAGGAATAAAATAAGAATAGCGAATTACTGAATCTACCCTGAAGTCTAAAGTAGCAAAGGGTACCTTTTCCTTAACCCTGATGTCTACACTATCAAATGTCCCAATGGCTTTGGAACTGTGACAATGGCATCACCTGCTCCGTTCAGATGAGTGTCACTTGAGAAATCGCTCTTCTTGCAGTGGAAATTGAGCTGTTTGAAGACTAATGGAGTACATGAATATCTGATTTTATTTTCAAATGTCTTAATTTCTTTTTAAACTGATACAAAAAAAAAAAAAAAAAAGAGAAAAAGTAAATTGACACCTATACTTCCAGCACTTGGGAAGTGGAGGCAGCAGGCTCAAGAATTCAAAATCAGTCTTTCTTGGCTGCATACCAAGATGGACCCCGAACCAAAAACAGTATGATTTTTTAAAAAAAGATTTTAGTTTTAATTATGCACACATGAGTGGGGAGGGGTTGTGCATGTGCGTGCAGTGCCTGAGGAGGCCAGAAGAGGGCACGATAGCGCCAAGCCGTGGAGTTACAGGTGGTAAGCTGCCTAAAGTGGATGCTCTTCATTACTGAGGCATCTCTCCCTTCCCTAAATTGGATTATTTTTTTGTTTTTTGTTTTTTGACACAGGGTTTCTCTGTGTAGCCCAGGCTGTCCTGGCACTAACTCTGTAGACCAAGCTGGACTCAAACTCACAAAGCTCCTCCTGCCTCCACCTTCTTGAATGTTGGGATTAAAAGCATACAACACTACCACTGTCTGGCTTCCAAAATGGAATTTTCATTTATTTTTTATTTTACTCATTTATGTGTTTATTTTTGGTTTTTCAAGACAGGGTTTCTCTGTGTCTTTGGAGCCTGTCCTGGCACTAACTCTGTAGACCAGGCTGGTCTTGAACTCACAGAGATCCACCTGTCTCTGCCTTCCAAGCACTGGGATTAAAGGTGTGTACCAGTACTGCCTGACTCTGAAATTGAATTTTTTTTAGAACATCTGCTTTCACTCTTTCTCATATATAAACATTTTATTTTTGAAATGGAGCCTTGCTGTGTTGCCCAAGTTGCCCTCAAACTCCTGTGCTTAAACACAAGGCCTTAATTGGTTGTGCTGTTCTGGAAAGTTGTGGAACCTTTAGGAGGCAGAGCCTTGCTGGAGGTGGACTTTTAGGTTTGGTAGCATGGCCATGCTACCTTGCTAGCCACCTTGCTCTATCATTGTGCCTTCCCCCACTGTGATGGACTCATACAAGGTAAACAAACCCTCCCTCACTCTTTTAAGTTGCCACTTGCCCTGTCAAAATTTATCATGGTGATAAGAGAAGCCTCAGCTATCCATTTCCAGGCCCGGGCTTTACACCACCAGGTAAACTCCAGCAGCTAGCAATCACATTGCTTTGCATGCTTAATGTGGTTCAGCAGAGAAAAATCTCTCCCAACCTCAGGCTTCTTATTACAGCAAGGCTACAGTTTCTGGCTCTGAAAAGCCAGGGTAATCTTAAGGAAAGTGGAACTAGAAGGGCAGAATGATTTGGAAAATGACTGGTATATCTTCGAATCTGCCGAGGGCACTTGTACCTTGGTAACCACGGTGTTCCTCACCTTAGAGACCATCTCAGCTTAAGTACAGAGATAATGGTCCAGTGGGGGGATGAGGAGGAGGAAGAGCAAAGCAAGCTTTAAAAGGTGTCTGCTCTGTTACAGTTTAGACCTAAAATATCTCCACAGGCTCGTGGAGTTGGACACTGGACCAACAGATGGTGATGATGGCGCGGCTGTGGGGCCTCTGGAGGGGGACACTGTCACAAATCATCACAAGCCAAGGGCTCCACGCCATGCCAATTGCTGCATAAGGGGTTCTCCACCCAGGCCAAACCAAGACTCAAGGCTACAGCAAAGAAACAGATCCCAGGTGGGAGATCCGTTGGGTCTGTTTTTTAGTTGTTTTTATGGTCTCTTTATGTAACAGTCCTGACTGTCCTGGAACTCTCTATGTAGACTGGCCTCAAAGTCACAGAGATCCATCTGCCTCTGCCTCCCAAGTGCTGGAATTAAAGGTTTACACCAACATTTTTTGGCTTTTCAAAAAAAATGTAAGTTACACTTATGCATGTGTGTGTGTGTGTGATGTGTGTTGGGTGTGTGTGTGATGTGTGTGTGATGGGGGAGGGCATATGGTGTCATACACCAATATTTTCATACAGAGGTCAGAGGACAACTTTCAGTGGGTGGGTTTTCTTCTCCCAGGATGTGGCTCCCAGGGATTGAACTTGGATCTCAGGCTTAACAGCAAGCCCCTTTCCCATTGAGCCAACTCAGTGGCCCAGAGGTTGAGTTCCTTTACAGTGGGTGTTTCTGGCCCCCATGGTTGTAGGGCCCTGCATGGACCCCTGAGGCACCTGAGCAAGCCTGAAGCTGTTGGCTGGAACATCTTGCAGCAGAGTAGTTCTTGGTACTCTTCTTGATTTGCTAACACACATCTGCTGGGGAGGAACTGAGCCAGAGAACGTGCACGCTTGACCCTTGATTGTTTCCCACTGTGCTGTAAGTCAGTATAAAAGCCCACTCCATCCCCTCAGTAAACAGCATTGGGCATTTAGGATTCCAGCTGCACAAATGACCTGCTGCCTTGTCTTTTATTTCAGTCTCTAGGCTTCGCCTGCGCTACACCAGCTTACATCTCTACTGGTTTTTGAGGGGCACTCCTGCCCTTTGTTTTCTGACATTTGCCCATGGAGGATAATTTGTAGCAATGTTAAAAGTTAAAGAGTTTTTCTGAGTAAACAAAATTGTAAGGTGGATTTAGGAAGAGCACTGTGTTTTAGGGAAAAGACTTCACTCCTAAAAACTCAAACTTATATTTCACTTCGGCCATAACTAAGTACAATCTAGTTACTGTCCTTGACAGTCTAGGCTGGGGTGTCTTTGAGATGAATCTTCAGCAAGCTGTCTTTGGAAAATGCATTGTCTCTGTGGGCCATTAGGCTCTTTTACACATAGAGAGAGACTTACTTACATTTAGTTATTTACACGGGGAGAGGACATGCATGTGTCGGGGAGGTTAGAAGATGACTTGTGACTATCAGTTTTCCTTCCACCAGGAATTGTGTGTTCCAGGTTCAGCAAGAGCCTGTGCCGGCAAGCCATCTCATCAGCTCATTCTTAGGCAGTGAGAACTTCCAACATCACAAACCATGGAGCATCTCCTGAAGCTTCGAGAAAGTAAGTACTCCCCTTAAGTGTTGTTTTTTGTTTGTTTTTTGTTTTTTGGTGTTTTTGTTTTTTGCCCAGGCGTTTTGTTGCAAGAAAAAGAAAAAATAACTAATAGATGTTCAAAGGAGCCTTCCTGTCCTTGGTCAGTCCACTGAAGTTCACATAAGGCCTACAGCAGCCAAATCCTTGCAGAGCCCAGCTGGGCCCCTTGAACAGCAAGCACCTCCTTAACTTAGCTGTCTTTTGAAGAGTCACTACACAGTATCCACTAGCTGCAGAACAAAGCAAGCCTCTCATGCAGCTGGGCTGAGATGCTGTCATTGTCATGCCCCAAGGCAAGGATTATGGTTTAGTTGAAAAGATCAAGCTATCCCTCTTATTTTGTAGTAAACACCTGGGCCCAAGGAACTCCACTGTTAAATGCTGTTGAATCAGCTGAGGTAAAGTGAAAATTCCCCAAAGAAATTTCCCAAGGTTCCTATTTCAGGTCTGATTACTCCTGACCCAGGTGAGAATTGCAAATTTATGCCAACACCTGTATTCTCCCAAATTCAAGCCTAGGAAGTTCAGACCCACGGCAGTGTGTAGACCAATGATTGATGTTTAGTTATGACTGAATATTTTTGTTGTGGTTCCTGTGTCAAAGCCATTTTTACTTCCATAAATTTTATTTTTCTTAAAAGAAAATCAAAGGAACTGAAGTGGGCAAGTCTCTGGCAGAATCTCACAGGAAATGCTCAGTAAAATCAGATGAGAAAAGGCCCATTGCGGAGGAACAAGCAAGATTGATGGTAGTTCAAAACATGAGGGGTTCGAGTGTCCCCGGTCCGCTGGCTGATGAGAAAGGAAAGCCTGGCTCCAGAGCATGCTGAGGGAGGAGCTGGGTGAGCAGCGTGGGAGTGTGGGTGCAGCAGTCAGACAGTGTGACCACCGGGGAAGCGCAGAATCCAAGTCAAGTGGTAATATGGAAGTCTTGCTACCTCTCAACCTATCTTCTCTTTGAGCGCCAGGCTTCTCACACCCATCTTCTGTGGTATTATTGTCTGTTTGCCCTGGCTCTCCAGTGGCCAGCTCTGGCAGTCACTGTTCAGTCAACATTCTTCGCAAACAATGACTTTGGACTTACAAAGCAATAAGGTGCTGATAAGGGCCCCTCCTCTTCCAGAAGATAGTGCTAAGCTGACCATATAGCAACAATTCACTTCTGGTTGGTGAAGGGCCAGACTTGAGATAGAGATATTTTTCATTTGAGTGGGTTGTTTCCTGACTTTCACTAGTGTCCTGTTATCATTGTCACTGTGT